GAAATGAGTCAGAAAGAGAGGAATAGACATAGAAAGATTACATTCATCTAGGGAACATAAAGTAACAAAATAGGAGACTAACACCCAAGAGTGACCAAGATTAGTACCAGGAATTTTGCTCAATGGCTTGGAGGCCAGCCACACATGCTAGGGGAAAGGGAGCTCAGATAGAGAAGGGAGCACCAAATAAAGGGTGTGGGAGGACCCTCCCAGGATGGGAGAAGCATGCTGAAAGTAGACTATAGACCAAACATGATTGCCACTCGATGCCTCATTTCATAACTTTTAATACTATAAATTCTCAAGAGTTTTTACCTGCATATTAAATAAACATTGAATAAACATGTGGCCTTTTAAAGCAGTTTTTTCTTTAATGATTTATTTATTCATTTTGATACAATACTTCTGATAATGTTTTCTCATGTACATAATTCTTACACCACACCCATTGTCAGTTTACTTGTCTCCTTCCCACAAGAAACCTAGCCATCTGCCCTTAAACCTCCCCAACTAATTTGTGTGGGTCAGTTCTTCCATTATGTCACCTTTGGATCTTTGTTTGTTCCTCAATCACTGTGTATCTTTAAGTCCTATTTATGAGACAAAGACAGATTCTGCATCTGCTCCTTTCATTCTGACTGACTTTCCTCAACATAATATGCTCTATTTCCATCCATGTTGCTGCAAATTGCATGCTTTTGTTCTTAGAACTTAATTGTACTCCATTGTGTATATATACAAACATTTCTTGTTCCATTTATCTGTAGTTAGGTATTTGGGTTGTTTTCATATCTTGGCTATTTTACTAACTCCTGAAATGGTGCAACGAACATAGGCATGAGTGTGTCTTTGTGTGTGTCTGTGTGGGTTTGTGTATCCATTCGAAGTGAAGTTTTTGTATTTTAGGAATAAATGCCAAAAAATTGTTTCTTACTGGATTATATGGAAGGTACATTACTATTTTTTGAGAAATCTCCTTACTGCTTTCTGAAGAGGTTGAACCAGTTGATATTTCCAGCACATTGAATTGCTTTTCATCACAATCCACCAAAAACTGGATGTTTCCTCATTTTTCATATGTGACTTTCCCAATGCTGTGAGATGTTATCTCATTGTTGTTTTGAAATTCATTTTTCTAATTATCAGTGATTATGAGTGGATTTTCATATTCCTGTTGACTGTATTTCTTCTTTGGGAAAGTATCCGTTCATCTCCTCACCCCATTTATGGATGTGGTCATTGGATTTATTGTTGGTAAGTTTAGTGAGTGCTTTACAGATCTTGGATATCAGCACTTTATCAGGAGTATTGTGTGTAAATATATTTTCTCCCATTCAATAGGGTGTCTTTCAATTAGAGCTTCAGTTTCCTTTGCTGTAAAGAAGCTTTGAATTTGATGTAATCCCATTTGTTTATTTTTGGTTTTGTTCTCTGCCTAAATTCATATGACCTTATGGATTATGTATATTTTATTGATATTCCATATTATATTCATTGATCTACATATGTTGAACTATCCTTGCATACCTGGGATGAACCCCACTTGATCATGCATGGTGTATAAATATTTTGAATTTTTGCTAGATTAGATTTACTTGAATTTTTTGAGGATTTTTGCATAGATTTTAATCAAGAATATTGGTCAATAATTTTCTTTTTTAGTAGTTTCTGTTTAGGTATCAGTGTGATATTGGCTTCATAGAAGATATTAGGGAGGTTTCCTGTTTCCTCAATATTTTAAAAGAGTTTCAGTAGTATGGGCACTAAGTCTTTGAAATTTTGATAGAACTCACTACTAAATCCATATGGAACTGGGATTTTGTTCTTTGGGATATTTTAATTACTGTTTCAATTTATTTACCTGAGATTTGTCTATTCAGATTTTCTTTTTCCTTATGGTCCAATCTTGGGAATTTATATTATTCTGAAAATTCTTCCATTTCTTTTACATTCTTAATCTTTGTGGCGTAAAGCTGTTCATGATAACCTTTTGCATTATTTTGTACTTCTGTAGTGTCTGGTGTGATTACTCCCCTGTCATCTCTGATTCTTCTTGTTTTTTTCTCTTATTTTTGTAGTGAGTCTAGTTGAGTTTGTAGATATTGTTTACTCTTTTAAATACAGCTCCAGTTTTCATTGACATTTTGTACTGTTTTCTTATTGTCTATGTCACTGATTTCCACTGCTTTTATTATTCCCTGACTTTGATTTGCATTGGAATTCATTTGCTTTTCTCTTTGCAGTTTCTCTAGTTGATAGATTAACTCGTCAATTTGAACCTTCTGTTTCTGTGTTCTGATTGAAATAGCTATAAATTTACCCCTTACTACTGCCTTTGCTATGTCTCATAGATTCTTGTTTGTGTTTTCATTCTCATTTTTTTCCAACAATTTCTAATTTCCTCTCTTATCCAAATATAATGAATGCTGTCATTTGTTTTTCAGGATTTGGTCTTATGCCACTTTCTTTTTATGCTCATAATCATATGGCTTTGTGATCAGTGAAGACACTTGTTATAATTTCTATTTTTGTCATTTTATAAATGGTTGTTTTGTGTCCAGCATGTGATCTATTCTAGAGAATGTCCCATGTGCTATGGAGGAGAATGTATACTAAGTTTTAGGGTGGGGGTTATGCATCCTAAATTTGTCTATTAGAATCCAGCTCTTCCAGTTTTGACTGGTTGATCAGTCCAATGATGAAGTGAAGTTTTGAAGTCTCCCTCCACTATTTTTCTGTAAAACATAATTGTGTGCAATTATAAAAATTGAAACAGGAATATAAGGCAACCTATATGAATTATATTAGTAAACATATTTTTGATAAACAATATAACACCTATTCTGTGGAAGCGTGTACTAATAGCAGATATGGATTTAATCCTAACTACAATTTTCCTTCTCTTCAGTTTGTAAGGTTCATGACTATATATGAGGTGAAATGCTTATGATTTGGAATTCTACTAAATCTCTATTAAGGAACCACTCTAATAAATTTCTCTAAAAAGGAACCACTCATTAAAAATTAATTGACTTTATAATGGAACTTTGATAAAATTTCATGAATCTTAAAATCTAGTTCACTATGCAATTATATGTGAGCTTCTGATTCATTCATCTTTTTCTCTTGATTATACCCCATGGTCACTCAGATAAGTCAACCAAAATTTTCTTTCCATGAGAAGACATGGACTTGGAAAATCTTTAGGACACCTAACAAGTAGTTTTTGTTGCTGTTTGGGGGCCACAACTGGTGTTATTTAGGTCTTATTCCTGGATCTGCATTCAAGGATCACTTCTGGCAATTCTCAGGGGACCATAAGTGGTGCCAGAGATTAAATCTGGTTTGACATCATGCAAGTCATGCACTTTACAAGCTGGAATTATTTCTCTAGTCCCTTGTTCTTTCTAGAGAGAAATAAAATGTCAATTCTCAATGGGCTGAAAAATATCAAGAGTATGTATGTAAGAGAAAAAGAGAAAAACAGGACTGAATAGCTCACTCCAGTGTACACTTACATGAAGGAGGGCAGGTTTTGATGCTCAGCTTTGCACAGTCCCCAAGACTGCTTAGAATGACACCTGAAAACAGAGACATAAGTAGACCCTGAGCACAGCTGGGTGAAACAAAAGAACTAAAAAAGAAGAAAAATCATAAGAAAAAATTAAAAGTATTACTTTACTATTTTTCTAAAGAGTAAAAGTGGGTATAACTTATAATAGGCAATTTTCTTGTAGATAATGTGTACTGTAAAATAATCACTTACCCCAGTCCATCACAGAGACAACTTTAGTGAACTGACTTCTCTGAATTGAATTCTTTTTAATTTTTCCATTGTCACTTTTTAAAATATTAAACTATGATCATAAAAGCAATATGTTCATTACAGTAAATATTAAAAATACAATAAAAACAGAAATAATACTATCATTCAATGATAAACATTCTTTAAATGGGGAAGGTGGTATAAATTTGCCAGTATGTTCTCTTTACATATTCACATACATGTGTCTTCTTAGGCAATTTGAAATACACCACATTTTTATTTTCTAGCATATTTAAGTGATTTGCTTCTCTTTTTCTATGATCACCGTTAGATACAGAATTATAATGTGATCACGAACCATTTACCTCCTACGACCTCCCCTCATCCTCTATTACAGGCACTTCTCTCTCTCTCTCTCTCTCTCTCTCTCTCTCTCTCTCTCTCTCTCTCTCTCTCTCTCTCCACCTTTGGGTCATTATGGTTTGCAATACAGCTACTGAGACATTGTCATATTTGGTCCTTAACCTATTTTCAGCACAGTTGTATCCAGAGTGATCATTGCCAAATATCACTGTCACGGTAGTCCCTTCTCTCCCTTCTCTATGCCAACTGCCATCTTCTCCAGCGTTTGAGATAGGCTTCCAACCATGGACCAATACTTCTGGGGCTTGTTTAAGTTGTCTTTGTGTATTGGTCTTATATGACCTATGAATGTATATATATATATAACCTATATATATATGTGTATATATATATATATTATCCATTATCCTCCTATCTTTCCCTCCTCTGCTTGGTAAAATGAGGTTTTTAATGCAAGCCTAACAATTTATCATCATGAAGTGTGCTCTATTTCCTTGTTTTGTCTTTCTCTATACCACAGATAAGTGAGATCGTTTGTTAGTTCACCTTCTGAATTATTTCACTTAATAAGATACCTTCCAGTTCTTTCCTTATTGCAGCAACTGCAAAATTTCATCATTTTATAGATGAATATATATGTTTATGTGTTTTATATATAAATATACAGTACTCATATATAAGTTATTTTATCCATTAATCTGTCACTTTTCACTGTACATTTGGATTATTTCCATATTCTTATGATTATACTAAGACCTGTAATAATTTCACATATATCTTTTTTAATTAATGCATTTGTGTCAAGAATTTATCTCTAAGAAAGAATTTTTAAATCGTTAACAAATTAAATAATTGTTTTTTTTCTATATAGAAGAGTCCAATGACGTGGTTCCAAATGAAGAACGGTCTCAAGAGGAGGGACACCATGCATTATCCACAGAAAATGTGGTATGTACATTCAATGTGGTATGTACATTCTGAAATTCTTTCCCTCTTAGATGTTGTAGAACAAGGATATGTTTCTAATTGGTGACAACACCATTATTATGTAGTTTGGGGAACATGGTTACAATAGTGTTTAAGTTTATAGTATTGATGTGCAAAGTTACTGCACCAACACCAACACCAACACCAACACCAACACCACCAGAGTGTCCATTACCCTCTATTCCTGAACAATAATCTGATCTTCCTTCACCCCAACTTTACTCTCCACTGTTTGTTGATTGCCAGTTACGGTATCAGCACATACTGTTACCTAACTTATCGCCACCAGTGTGCCCTAAACCCTCCACCTATGCCCATGTGTTAATTTCAGTTGTCCAACTACTTCTACCAAAGCCTGATATACTTAGATCTAGATCTGGTGTAAATCCAGGTGTAATTGATATTGTTTATACATTTTATTTTTGTCTCTATATGCCACAGATGAGTGCTATCATTCAATGGTTTTCCTTCTGCTTCTGGATTATTTCAGTAATTTCAGAATGAAGTCTTCCTCACAAACAAAAGCGGGTGTATTTGATAGAATTATATACATTTGATGGACTGAAAAATAAAATTTGCATATCTATGATTCATACTTCATGCTTTATTTGAAAATTTTATAAATCTAAGAACCAAGTATTTACTACAATTAAAACATTTACATAACCAGCTATTATTCTTTCAATACCATTACTAAAATGTAACAGATTTCTTCTTTGGCCAACGGAAGAAATAAAACAGGTACTAGGCTAAAATTATGAAGGAAGTCTTTGTTAATTCTAAGACTTGTATACAAAGACTCCTGACTCAATCTCTCTCTTCAGACCATATTTATCTATACAATATTTGAAAATTTTTCTTCCTTATGTTGAACTTTATTATTCATATTAAAATGATACTTTTCAAAGCAGCTCTTTTACAACATTATTTATATATTGGATCTATCAAGAAAGCTAGAAAAGATCCTAAAAATTTAGAAATAAAGTTAAATGTCACTTTGCTTTTTTGTTTAGCTATAAGCACAGCGGTAGGGCGTTTGGAAACGCCCTTTGGCTGGGTAGGAAATGCCCAGTCAAAGAGGCAGGTGGGATGGGGGGATGGGGGATGGGAGGAATACTGGTACCCGTGGTGGTGGAAAATGGGCACTGGTGAAGGGATGGCTACTTGGTCATTATATAACTGAAACCCAAGCACAAAAATTTGTAAATCTACAACTGTACCTCATGGTGTTTCACTAATAAAAAGTTTTTTAAAAAAGTTATGAAATTATACAACTGAAAAGTCATGCTTTCTTTTACTTACAGAGGGCTTCCACATTAGTGAACGTTTAAAAGCTAAACCATCTAAGTTATTGATAATTCCTCAAGATATAAAGGGCTAGAGCGATAGCACAGCGGTAAGGCGTTTGCCTTGCACGCAGCCAACATGGCCGACCCGAGTTCGATTCCTCCATCCCTCTCGGAGAGCCTGGCAAGCTACCGAGAGTATCTCGCCCGCACGGCAGAGCCTGGCAAGCTCCCCGTGACGTATTCGATATGCTAAACACAGTAACAACAAAGTCTCCAATGGAGACGTTACTGGGCCCGCTCGAGCAAATCGAATGAAAAACGGGAGGACAGTGACAGTGACAGTGAAAAACAATATAGTTTAGAATTACATCTTTTCCATTTCGCTTTTTTGAGCCTTGAATATTAAATTCAACAGGGTTATAAGAAGAGAAGTTTTTTCTATGTAAATCATAGAAAAATAGCTAATAATCATACTTTTAAAAATTAATATATTTATATAAAATTATATCTCTAATAATCTCTTAGAATTTAATGTTGAGTTATACGACATAACTTACATATAATTATTTCTAAATTAGAACTTGATAATGACTTATTTTAGCCCAAATTTCTCTGCATTATGTCTCCTTTATAGGAAACATTTGAAGATATGACACATTAACTAGTTGATTTTATTCAAGAACAGTTGGTTTTCGACAAAATTCTAAACCAATAAAGTTTGGATTTCTCTGCATTTAATTTTTAATTTCCCTATTATAATGAGAGATAATAAGGGCTTGTAAGATCTATTTACATATACAAATCTATACAGTGGTCATCAGTGCTTTCCTCAGCACATTTTTTAGTTATTTTTATCAAGAACTAATACAAATATGAAGAGAATTCAAAAGCAACATCAAATAAAGTAGAATTCTGAGGTTTTGTAAGCGCTAAAATACATTAGACTTATCTTCAGGCAGCAGTAGAAGGCAATTTCATTGTAGTTATCTTCCTGATTCCAAAGCCTGCAGCAGGTCAAAAGTCTTATTATGGTATTGTAACATGTTATATGAAATAAATTTAACTAACACTACCTTATACAAGGTACTGTAAAACTTGCAGTACCTCCATTTGTAAAACTAAGAGAACTTTAATTTCTCTAACACTCAATCTCAAATTGCTTTGTTTTCATTATTATGTTATCAATCTCTGCTTTTGTTTCTACAGCCAGTTAACTATAAGTAAAGTGAATTTTTAAAAAATGTATTTAATTTGTAGGCGTTTCTTATTTTTATAAAACTTATTCTGAAGATGCAAGGAGGTTTATTGGGACTTCAACTGAAAAGAGCCCTTTATGCAAGTTAATTAAGAAGTAATCAATTGAAGGATGGGGGGAATGCTTTTAGACACACATTTACTGTAACATTGAAGAGCCTGTGAGATATCAAAATTTATTCCAGATAATTTAGATAGATAACCCATAATTCAAAGTGAACATTAAATGCAACATGGTGTTCTGTATATTTCAGAATATGATAATAATGACCAAGCAGACATATTTATGGCAACTTCTCTATTTGTGTTATAGAAAATAGAAATACTAGATGATGAGGAAAGTGACATGATAAGCAATTCTGAAGTTGAACAAGTAAATTCTCTCTTGGAATATAAGGTAAATGTAACATTAAATTCCACATGTATAAAGAGTTGTTGAATGAGGTAATTTTAAAGTATCTCTATAATGGTTTTACTTCAACACTATTTGACAAGTTAAATAACTGGGTTATTGCACTGCTTTGCTCAGGCCACTTGATTATCAGTTAGGGTATTACACAATGCAATGCTGACTCTTTAGTGGTAGTCTTTTATGTTTTGTGTATGTGTGTATTATTTTTTGTTTTGTGGGCCACATCCAGGTATCTTCAGGCTCTGTGTTCAGGGATCATTTCTGGAGCAAATTGAGAACAGTGTTAAAGATGGAAACTGGGTTAGCTGTGTGCAAGGAGAGTTCCCAGGCCACAGTACTATCTCTATAGGCACAACTTATAAGTTTTAAGTGATAATAAAAATGTACAATTGGGGGCTGGATATATAGCACAGCAGGTAGGGCATTTGCCTTGCATGCGGCCGACCCAGGTTCGATTCCCAGCATCCCATGTGGTCCCCCGAGCACCGCCAGGAGTAACTCCTGAGTGCAGAACCAGGAGTAACCCCTGTGTATCGCCGGGTGTGAACCAAAAAGCAAAAAAAAAGTAAAATTGCCTATTTTATCTTGAATTTTAATTTCTTAAGATTATTTTAAAAGATATAAGAATATGTCTCTAGGTTAAGTATAAACAATCCCAAAAAGCAGTCTCTAAACAAATATAAATAAAGATGAGCTTTCCCTTTATTTTCCCTATGGTACACAAGATGGAAACTCTAGGACTCACACATGCAAAATTATTTGCTCTGCCACTGAGGTATAGCCATGGCTCAAGCAGAACTTTGATAATTTTGATATATTCTGAAATTTCGATCACACAAATATTTTCCACATAAAAATTTTTGATGGAGTATCACAAAATAAAATTTAATCAGGAAAGCAACAGCTGTTATTTTCTCAGTCTGAAAAGTTTTGTTATAATATAAACATGTCATTAAATAGAGCATAATTTCAAATTTTTAAAATATGCAAATTATGATACTGAACATTGTAAACGGAAGGAAATTATTTTAAAATATATTTTCAAACTAAAATTCACATTAAAATCTATATTTAAAATGTGTATACTGGGGCTGGAATGATAGCACAGCAGGTAGGGCGTTTACCTTGCACTCGGCCAACCCAGGTTCGATTCCCAGCATCCCATATGGTCTCCTGAGCACCGCCAGGAGTAATTCCTGAGTGAAGAGCCAGGAGTAACCCCTTCGCATTGCCGGGTGTGAACCAAAAAGCAAAAATATAAAATAAAATAAAATGTGTATACAACTAGCATGATTATAAAATTCTTGATTCTGAAACACAAAGGTTGTTTGAGGGTTCATTGCATATTCATATTGTTAACGTAACTGAATGCCCAAGTTATATTTAACATAAGTGTGAAAGCCACCACTTGATACAGGTAACAACTTATTGAGACAAGAGAACTGGATTACACAATTCTGAACTATTCCAAGCAGGATAGGGTTAAGCCCTGAGCTCAGAGAAATCTTTCCAGGACCTTTCTCATCTAAGGTGCTGCTGATTTGAAAGGTTTAGGGTTAAAGTCTGGGGCAGGGTGGAGTTTGAGAAATGTTTATAAACATTTTTAGTGAACTCTAAAAGATATTGAATGGTCTTTACTTTCTCCTTGTGGAAAAAAATGGCTTAAGGTAAGATCATTCTCTGTCTCATTAGGTATCTTTTATAAAACATCATCATCCACCATAGAGTTTTTAACTTTCAAATAGCAGTACCCTTTAGAGGAAACATCATTTTTGTTGTCATTATTAAAGTTATTCATTTCATTCAACCAATGAATTGTGTTACCTTATTTCTATAGTAGGTGGGAAGTGGAAATTTATAAATCAGTTTTTAGTGATCATTTTTAATCATCATTTTAGACAAGTTTATCAGTTACAAAATGTAATCTCTTCTGAGATTATTACTGTACTTTATTTGCATATATGTGCTCATGTTCCATTCTGGAGATCAAAATAACTCGGTTGGGCCAGAGAGATAGCACAGAATGTAGGACACTTGCTTTGAACATAGTCAAACAGGGTTCAATCCCTGGTACCCAATACATTATCCTGAACACCACTAGGCTAAATCCTTGAGCACAGAGCCATGAGTAAGCCCTGCTTAACCACCACATGAGGTCCCAAAACAAAAAAATTAGAAATCAAAATTATTTGGTTGATTTTTGTAATTATATTCATCAGCAAAAATTAACCTTATTCATTTATTTATTACCTGGTATAGTATCCAGCTCATAGGTGACCAGAATTACTGTTAAATTGAGTAAAAGAGATCAATAAATTTTTCGTTGGAAATATTTAATACGCTTATTCAATTAGTTTTTTATTTAAAATCAAATTTAAAAAGGTAGATTGGTCTACTATGTTTCAATCAATAAAAATTCCTAAACATTCTTGGTATTCTTTGTTGCACACATAAATACTCATTTTTGGCTTCTGATTGATACATGGGAATCGTTTCAAGGCTGTTTTCACTCAGGGCACCCCAGAGGGGGGCGGGTGAGAGCCCTTCCCGACCCAAGGGACCCAGCCCCAGCAGCAGACCTTCACTACCCAACCACCACCGCGCTCCAGGTTGCTTTCCACACACTCGGGCTGAGCCTCACATATGAGTGAACATATTCCTGACACATTATAAGACACTTCCTATCCATTATCCATTTTCCATAAATACCACACCATATTTGATGGGGTTCAGACAGTGGACAACAAATCGAAGAGAGATAGATAGATAGATAGATAGATAGATAGATAGATAGATAGATACCCCTCTGAGAGCCCGGCAAGCTACCGAGAGTATCCTGCCCACACGGCAGAGCCTGGCAAGCTACCTGTGGAGTATTCGATATGCCAAAAACAGTAACAATAATGCGTCTCATTCCCCTGACCCTGAAAGAGCCTCCAATATGGCAGCGTTGGGAAAGACAAATAAGGAGAAGCTGCTAAAATCTCAGGGCCAGAACAAATGGAGACGTTACTGGCACCTCCTTGAGTCAATCAATGAACTACGGGATGACAGTGACAGTGATACAGTGATACAGTGATTGATACATATTGCTAGAAATTTATATTATGAGACTTCTAATAACTTAAAATGTTTACTAAATACGTTATTGAACTAAGTATCTGATGCATAAGGATCTTTATCATAAAATCACACCACATATTGGATATCATTAATTGTCTGCTCAGAATTCATAGTGTCAGTCTACATGAAGCCTTCATATGCCTTACAATGATTTGGAGTAGAGTTACCAAAGCTTAAGTTGGAACGTAGGGAGATTTTATCAAGAAAATGAAATAGGTGCTGTTTAGTGAAATTCAGTATCTAATGTTAATTTATTAAATTCTCTCACATGCATTTCATGTACTTTTTAAAATGTATCAAAATCATACATAAATTACTGTCTGTAATAGAGGATGTGCACAATAAACTTGAAAAAATAAACTCTACAAATAAGATAGATGCAATGTTGGATTATTACAACACTTTTTTAAAGACGTTTAAATACTAAGGAGGAAGAAAATATACATGACAAATAAGATATACGGATACTGAGAGTTGCTCTCTGACTTTCAAATACGAATTGACTTTCTTCTTCTTCTTCTTCTTCTTCTTCTTCTTCTTCTTCTTCTTCTTCTTCTTCTTCTTCTTCTTCTTCTTCTTCTCTTCCTCCTCCTCCTCCTCCTCCTCCTTCTCCTTCTCCTTCTCCTCCTCTTCTTCCTCCTTCTCCTCCTCTTCCTCCACCTCCTCCTCCTTCTCCTTCTCCTTCTCCTTCTCCTTCTCCTTCTCCTTCTCCTTCTTCTTCTCCTTCTTCTTCTTGCAACACAAGAAACTTATCTGCTTTAATATCTCTCCAGCACTTGGAATAATGTTTTCAGAATGTTTCCTATGAACTATGAGCATAAATCAAAAGGAATGTGTGAATTCAAATGAACTGTAATAATTGTGATAAATATTACCTGTACTAGAAAGATCTTCCCAATCAGCACTTTTAATACACCAATGAGTAATTAAAAAGCAGAACTTTAAAGATAAATATGTTATAGAAAAATAAATGTTCATTTATTTTTAAATTTAGGCACCATTTTATACTAAAGAGGGTCTTATTTCTGACACAATCCATAATCATAACATCCTCCAGAGTATCCATTTCCCTAATCCATTGTCTTAGTGGCCTCCACATCCTAGTCAGCCCTGTTCCATATCCTATTAGAAATCAATTCACTGTTTCTGCTGCCACTGAATATTTGTTATACCTACTACATTTCTTAAATCCCATATAAGAGAGAAATAATTCTATATTTGTTCATCTCCATCTGACTAACTTTAATCAGCATGATATTATTCAGATACATCTAGTAGAAAACAACAGATCTATGAACTTGTCTTTCCATAATGCCTAGTAGTACTCCATTTTATATATAACAAAGTTTTGTTATCTAATTGTCTGTTCTTGGACACTTGATTTGTATACAGAGATTGTGTACTGTGAAAACTATTACAGAAAATAGTAATGAAAAGTTCTTTTTTAAATACATTCTTCAGCCTCTTGGGTAGAAGTAAAATTGTTTGGTCATGAATACATAAGGTACATAGCAGAAAAGTAGGAAAATCCCTCCAGGATATTGAAGCCAAAGACATCTTCAAAAATGAAACACCACTGACCAAGTAAGTGGAAGCAAAGATTAACAAATGAGACTACATTAAACAAAGAAGCTTCTGCACCTCAAAAGAAACAGTGATCAAGTAACAATGATAGCCTACGGAATGGAAAAACTATTCACCCAAAACCTATCTGATAAGGGGTTAATATCAAAGATATACAAGACAGTGGTAGAATTTTACAAGAAAAACCTTCCTAACTCTATAAAACATAGGTAGAAGAAATGAACAGAATTTTTTTTCAAAGAAATTCAAATTGTTAAAAGGGACATGAAAAAAATGTC